GGTTTTGACAATATTGGAATGATTCAGAAATGCTTTAGAAATTATGAAGAATACCTGATAGCAGAATCTCTTCATATTGAGTAGGGTCAAAGTTTTCTAAATAGGAATGAGGGAGTAAAACGTAGTTTGACCTGGTCTCAACTCACCTTCACATGGTGATATAACCATCATACATACGATAAGAACTATCAACACAAATGTACATCTCAGTCCGTAATTCAAACACTCTTCACACACAACACACTAAATATGGATATTTTCTTTATTCTACAATCCTGATGACGTAGAATCATTCATGCAGAAGAACACTTGTCAAGTTATCCTATATAAGCTTGGATATTGTAAGTCCCGGTCTACTATAACTTTGATAAGGCTGTCTGGACTAAATAAGGAAGAGTCAGTTGAAACAAATTTACTCTGTTTTATATTCATTGAGAAATACAAATACCAAAATAAAGAATTAAAAGTTTTACTTTTCTAACTTTCTGTATATAGGCAGCTCATATTAAAATGCATTCTTCTAATGCGTTGCGTTTGATAAAGACATATTATACTGCTGAGGAGTCCCATACTAGGACGAAACAGCTGTCTAGTGCTCCCAGATTTTCAATGGTTCCCCAACTGATGTCAGTTCATGATGAATACTACTTCTACATATTATCATCGTCTGACATTATTTTTTCAGAAACAGAACGATGGTAGCTACAAAATTATCGAAAACTGTAATTCACTGTTCACATTTTACATCTACGTTCAGGAATCTTTCGTATAAAAGAAACTGTTGACTTCCAAGTTGGAATGCAAAAGTGATTATTTTTAACCCTGATTGGTTTGTTACGTAGTGGAACTATGACTAAGAAATACCTGTTGGTAAACGTAAACAGTATTTTAATCTAGTATTTATCATGGACATACATCAGCCGCAGAACCATTTAAAACCTGAGAGCACTAGACAGTTTGCGATGAATACAACCTTAAAATTAGAATCCCCATGGAGCTCACTAGTTACATACTTCGAGACAAATTTCTCAAAGTTCTAATGATAAACCGTGGCCTGTGGAGTCAACCAGCTGGAAGGGAAGCGGAAGTCAACTGAAGACCTTGGATTTTGTGATGCTATTTTGAGTATTGACAAAATTAGGACACTATGGACTTAAGTTGTGAGATGTGAAAGTCCTGAGTTCGATCCCTGGAGGTGCGTAGTTATTACTGCGTACTGCTGAGGAGTCCTATACCAGGATTAAAGAGCTGTCCAGTAGCTCCAGGTTTTCAGTGGTTCACGAACCGAAGCCTCCATTAACGTCAAAATACACAGTATTGACTTAGTTAACCGTAAAAGTAATAACATCTCATAACAACTTCTACAAATCTGACAGTCACGGAAATAATCAGCTGATTACATACTATTCAGGTAATTATGAATGCTGTCTTCAAAATGATCACTTCCCACAAAGAGTTATTCCTTGTGATAATTTATTTTAGTAAATGCAAAACATAAAGAATACAGTCATTCAAATTAACGAAATTCGCATATTTTGGTTAAAATCTCAGGAGTTTGGCTTTGGTTAAGTATTAAACAGCTTCAGCCATCTAACGTAAAAACGTAAAAACCGTATGTTAAGTGAAGGTGAACTGGAAACTTAGGTTGTAGCAGGATTCTATTAACCACAGGATAAGCCACTCAGAGTTGCATAAACTGAGCTTCGAGACCTGACTGCTGACCAGATATTAATTTCACTTCAGTCACCAAATATTTCACCTGACTGTCACAATAGCTGGTGATGCATATCTGTTTTTTAATCGTTACCACAATGGCTGTCCAGTCAAGGTCTTCTTGTCTGGAATCGAGATCGATCTAAATTCGAGAGGAGAGGTGTTGTACTGATGACACTATCTGGCAACCGAGAAAAACACTTAGTGGTTGAAGTAAAAATAAAACCCGATCAAAGGCCGGTTCTAGTATTTCACTTGACAGATTAGTAGTCTGATAGTCTGAAAGTCATCGATTATAATCCTGTATCTTTAATACAAATTCCCAAACCCACAGCTGTCCCATATAGTAGCACCAGAAAAAGATGGCATTCAGTATACTTGAATCTTAGAATAAGACATATAGTAATGAACATAAACTAGTTATTTAGATTGTGAACCCATTTGACTTCATTAACTGACATACATTTTTCAAATCTACAATTATATGCTTTTATGCAAAATCTTTCTTCACGATAAACTTTGACTGAAGTACATGTTTTCATGAATAGTGGAGGTGATAACCAAAATTGCTTGAAAGTCAAAAGTCAATATTTAGAGGCTCAAAATAAAATAATTCAATATCATGCACACTGGCAAATATCAATTAAGCCTTTGATTAGGTCTAAAGACCATGTGATCTTGGTTGCAAATGTTGTAAGCTTGTTTGAAAAGACAAAATCTACAGAGAATAACTTTCTAGGAAGGTCTGAAAAATCAAGGCCATTGGAAGCAGATACACATAAATAGCGCTGATTTTGTTTGAGTCGCTTATTTTACAACGTAGTTTCTTCGTCTTGCAACCTTTTCGACTTTCAAGGAGTGCAGAGAACGTTGGCACTGGAGTTTAAAGGTAATTCTTCAAGTGATTGCAAGTGTCAATATGCCACGTCATAGGTGCGACTCTTTTCTATATAAGTAATTCATTTTATCTCACTCAGTGTTGTACAATACCCAAAGGTAAGTACTAGACCGTCAGAGTAGTAATATGATAGCTATTAGGGTCTCATTTGGCTTAAAGTTCTGTTGATACACTTATGAATTTTCAGGGTGAAGGATATAAATGAGTGGTTTGAATTTTGTTCAGTGACACAAGGTTACTTCTCATTTCATTCGTGATTCTGATTCTGATTTATAATGCAATCACATAAGAGTTAGCAAAAATCTGGAAAAAAATAAAGCTTTTTATTCAAAAAAAAGGCAGGAGTAAGAAAGGAAAAAACGATTATCACGTCATAAAACATATTTCCAATAACTCAAAGTCGGCGCTTTTGAACTTTCACAGAAAAGGTTGTCTACAAAATTTACTATCGAATTCAACAAATAAAAAAGTTGAAAAGCTAGATCCTACTATTCATGTTTAACTCATACTTCTGAATATTTATAACGTTGGTAGGTATGTATTAAGGAGCAGAAGTATACTGAAGCAACGGGTTTCAAGATTATTAGTTAGACCTATTATGTTCAGTGTAAAATTCAGTTCTTTGAAAAAAATTTAATTGATGTATGATGTAATAAAGTGGTTGAAATAAGAGTTGAAAAAAGAGAAAAAAAGCAAAAGATGTAACAGATACTTTGTAGAACAGTGCGTTAGTGGAATATATCTTCAATGCGTTCTAAGTCTGGACTCTAATCTGCCTCAAAAATACATTCTACAGTTAAAAACTCAGGTCATTATACCCCATGGAAGTCGTGTTGTAAAGGTTGATCCATAATTTTAGAAAATATTTTGGTGCATCTGTGAATAAAGGAACTCAATATGCTTACTTATTTTTTACTCTAATGACTGGATGACTATAGGGAATATCAATTTAGTGGCTATGTTATAAAGCAGTGACAATTTCGCCTACCCTACTTAAATTGGGGGTTATTTTAACTATGGTTGAGTTAGTTTTGAGTTTTTTCTGAAAATAGGCTTCTTTATACTTACTACTTAAATACTTTAGTGGAAATTTTAATACCAATTAGACAAAAGGTGTTCTCTACCTCAACTGTCGAAGTTTTCCTTAAGGCAATATTAAGTTTTCATTGCAATTTCGACTACCTTTATTTCATGAAACCTTTTTTATAGGTATCCCATATTTATGTGTTGAACAGTCAGTATATTGTTAATTGGTTACTGGTGGCTAACCGATTTTATGTTGTCTATTCGTGATTGCTTATCTAATCCTATCAATCATTTTACAGTGTAGCTAGCAGGCTATGAGACCCAGCATCATGATGCACTTTGACGGGTATCACCTTAATGGAGGCAATCGGTAGGAACCCTTGATAGACCGAGGTTTCATGCTTATTAATATTCGTCATCAATGTGTATCTGCAACCTTAACGTAACTGATACCCCCCCTGAGATTCGCACCCATTTCACCCAGTGCTGCAGTCAGAGAAGTTATCATTGATCTTGGTTGTATTGTGTTCTCTGAGTTGGGTTGTTATCACTGAGCTGCGGTTGGTCACCTTCAGGACAGGATTCGGTACGCTGATTGATCACTAGACAGCAACCGATTTCATGTTATGTAGTCTTAAGTGCTGACCGAATTCTATTGATAGTTTTGCAATATGGCCCCCAAGCTTCAAGACTGTTTGACATAGATTCTAATCTCAGTCAGGAAATCAGTTCCATCGGGGTCGCAGATACTCTTGCCGATGAAGGCCAAAAAACACGAAGCCTATGTCTAGGTGTTTCTGCTGATTGCTTTCATCCAACTAACATCTTAGCCGGTATATCAGTCTACATGTATTTCTCATCAGTAAAAGTTTCCAAGCTTTGTATTCCGTCTAGTGGTCAGTACTTCACTTATCTTTTAACCATCCAGCAGACAACCAGTGTTTTCTACAGAAAGTAATTTGACATCAAACGATAAGCAATATACTTCTTTTCCGAAATAAAGGCATTCTGACCAATTGTCTACTGGTTATCATAATTTCCTTGAAATATGGTCAATGTAATGAGGACAAAACTGACTAACTGGAAAAAGGATTAGGTTTACGTGGTCTAGAGTCTTCTGTAAATCATGCTTAACGTTCTTAAGTAGCTGTTAAGACAGTTTAGAGTATTATAGAGTGACATCAGTTAATCATTACTGATATACGTTTTTCTAAGATTGACAAGACTTATGTTTTTTGGAAAAAGTGTTTCTAATTCAACTAGAAAATGTTTGGGGACTTTTGTTAACGGTTGCGAAAACGTAACTTAAAATTTCAAAATGCACAAAAATTGGTATAATTCAGGAAAAAAATCCACTGCATACCTTTTGTTTTTCTAAAATCTTCATTGCATAATATATGTGCGTCTTCTTATCTTTCACTAACATCACACGTCCAAATGATCCTGTGCCTAAGGTTTTTAACCGATCGAATTGATTTAGTGTTGCATTATTCTTATTGACACGTTGAACATAGAACATTGAACAAACGGAAGCCATGTTAAAGAAAAGAGAAAAAAAAGTGGCATATGAATAAAGCTATAAAATTATTTTCGAAAGAAGTGAGAAATAACTTCGGAATATCTACATTTTGCCTAAAATGTTACAAATAGTTTTTATGTCATTGCTTGTAATGTATCGTCATTGATCCAACCGAATTCATAGGTCTCTATAGGCATATAGGTTTCTGCACCGATGCCGTCGAACAGCCCGTAGTTTAAACTTGACAGTAGTGATGAGTGGTTGTAAACAGTGAAATCCGGAACGTGGGTTCCGTTCTATTTGATACTCGTCGTGCATTCCACAACTACCCACCATCTATCTTTTTTGCACACAGTTGCTGAACGTCCATTGAAAAATTCACAAGACATGCGCATCGTTCAGTGTTTCTCGTGAGTTGTAGAAGTACGCTGTCGATAAGTTTTGACACGAGATGGGAATAACTGTGTAGTGCTGTAGTGTTTTCAACGGTTTTCTGACTAATGTAGATTAGCAATGAAAATCTTTTCGAAAAAATAAACATAACTGACGACAGACCTGGTTAAAACAGGTCTGTATTGATCTGCCTGACTGAAAGTGTATAACCAGATCCATTTCTCAGTTTATACCGAGGTCAACAGAAACCTAAGGTTATAACTTCACCGTTTATCATTCTCACAAACATGCCACTCTGTTAAGCATATTGTAGTGTAGTCACGAGCTGGTGCCATATGTTGGCAAATACTATCAAGATTCATTTCTCACTTCTATTAAATTTGTTCAACTACTGAGATAGTGATACAGTGTAACAAACTGTCAACGTATTTGAAAATGTATGGATGAAATTTTTACCATTGATTGTTTATGGACACAGCTGAATTTGGAAGCTAATAGTATTTGTAATAAACAGTTGCACTTGAAACCTTCTGTGTAATTCAGACTTTCGGGTACAGTTTTTGTAACATGTATTAATTTAATGGAGTGATCGTTGAAGGTGAAGTGACAACCTGTGTTGTGCCAGAATTCAAATTATCTGCCTACATGTTGCAGGCTTAACCTCTTGCCTGCCAATCTAGTAGACACAGCTGTAGAACAGAGGGTATTTTAAGTTTTCATTCATTTGATGGATTATCACCAATCTGATGGTTACTGGTTCCAATTCTCTAGGGACTAAGATTAGTATCTCAATTTCAAGCATAAACTCATTACAGAAGTATACATTTACGAAACTATAACTATTTGAGAGAGTTCAATCAATGCATAAGTACTTTGGAAACATCTTCGAAAATCCAGTAAACCAGTAAGTTTACAGATGATTCTTCTGTATACAGAAGTGATTTGGCACTAATTAGACTAAACATAATCCAGTTAATCACTAATCCTGTTCAGTTTCGATGACATTCATGTATTCACTTATTTTCTTCAATGGAATAAAAGTCAATGTACAAAACCTTGAATAAAAGTGTATATAACCTCTTTCTGTGCTAACGTGTATTCTAAAAACATGTATCACATGACTGGGAAATATAACAATTTTTCATGAATAAACTAGTTAATTCATTGATTCTACACGTCTTCTTTGTAACATCTGATTGATCTTGATGGACTTGAAAATTCTTAGGAATATAGAATTATTTTTACAACTATAAGTAATAATTGAACACAATATGTATATATATATATATATCACTATGAAAAGTACTATACTGAGGGGCAACCTTGCCTAATGCTTCTACGTATTGAAACCAGTTCAAACACAAATGCCTGTTCAATGTGTTCAATATTCATATAAACAAAGTTTGTACAAACTAACACATTTGTTTCATCCTAAAAAGCATTAGATAACATTATAGTGTCATTTGTTTGTTAAGTTTGTTCCTGGGTTTTTAAAATAGTCTTTATACGTAAAACGAATCCGCTATTTTCAAAAAAAATTATTCGATAAACATGCACAATTTCATTCATGCCTATCATCATGATTTATATTAGAAAGGAATATAGAAAGAGAAGGTTACATTTATGAACTATTGGTAGTGATGTTGGTGGCCGTTTTAAAAATTATCGTCATTTTGCTTTGTTTAAACAAAATTAGAGATTTAACTGTAGTCTTCTTTTATGAGAAAAACCACTTAATTTTATTTGTTTATCTTAACGTCTGCCTGGTCAGTGGAAGATAGTTCACTACCTCTTAGTTCAAATGTCGTACTGAATGGTTATTCAAACTTACTTGGAATCGGTTTAAAAAATCTAATAATAGGATAAGAATTTGGCTGAGTTTCAGTATTATTGAACTGTACACCTTTCTGGCTGCAAGATGCATACTAAGAAGTATGTTAGACATCCAGTGAATTGTGAAGATACTTCATGGTTTGATACACTAAAGATTCAGTCATCATATTTGTTTGGGAACATCATGATTCAAGTTTAATTTTCATTGAGTGATGAAACTCAATGGTGAAGCAGTGTTCAGTGGATGGAAGTTGCATAAAGATAGTAAAAAGGGAAGATACACTACCTTAACTCGACTTATAGGCTTATAATAATCAATATTTTTTCGACTTTAAAGCCTATGCTAACGTCTTTATGTATATTACCTGGACTAGAATGAGGTTGAAAGAAACCTAGTATTGGCTAGATAAAGACGAATTACAAATCCAAAGCAACTTAATTGCTGGTCTGAGCCGAGAAGGGGTTGTGTAGGCTTTGTGGTTGACATCCGGTAAACGACTAAAATCGATTGTTCGACATTCTAACTGACATGACTGAGTGTGGATCATAATGTGACTAACATATACACCAACTGAATTGAGATAAAAGCGATTTTATGTTTACACTTCTATTATTTTTTTGATGCTTATAATCTCCCCCTTGTTCTGCTGTACCGAATAGATCAACATGTGTTGGCAAACGGACTATTATCGGGGATGCCTTAGTATTAGCTGAATTTTCATTATGTTATACCTAACTTGGAGGTGGCTAGCAGTAAAATCCCAAAAGCGTGTTTCGTCCTGTTTGGGACTAGTCTGCGAGATGTGCCTGAACCTTACTGAGTGATGTTGTTTCCAATGACAGTCGAAAGCTACATCCGTCTCTTCAAATGCCAAAGAGTTGTCCACAAAGCAGCTGAGGCATAGTAGCCACCTATTGTGCAGTGAGTATGTGTGGCAATTTATTGATGTTTACAACGGATAGCGCTTTGCCATTTGAAGCCATGGGTGCTCGACTCGAGTTTCATTGCGAACACCATCACTCACTAGGATGCAGGTGCATCCAGCTAAATAACTCCAAAAAGAATGGAACGCACGTCTTCGGGTTCTACAGCTAGCTACCAACAAGTGAGTTGTAATCACGTTTCCTTTATCTCATTCGCTATGTATTGCAATAGTTCACAATTGCAGACATTGTATTTCCAGTTAGCTGCCTTGTTAACTTTCACCTTGATGTGATAGTGAAAAATGAACAGTTTTACATTGAACAACGCTTCTTTGTTCGGATGATAAGTTTAAATATCAGCCATCCACTGTGGCGGGGAAAAATGTTTTGAATTAAAGGTTTTAAGTTTTTCTATGGATACATACAGTCCATGAGTAGGTTCGTTTGTCTAAGCACCTTTTTATGTATCTTGGATCAGGTTTTCTCGCTTTTTCGACAGTTCTACTCCTGTGTTCTGGTCTTTTTGATAGTTATATTGGTTACATTGGTTATCATCCTGCGAATGGTTGATAGTGACTTGAAACTGAGACCGGAATGTGTTCTATCTAGTTCAAAACTTGTTATCTGAACTGATCTGAATCCCTACAAGTGGCATCATTGAAACCTAAACTCAACACATTTCACTTCAGAAGATAAAGTTTAATTTACCTGTTTGCTGGAGGCATTTCTGACCGGTTTGAGTTCTAAGAGATACAGTTGTGAATGCGACTACATCACTCTGACAACTCCAGAGTCACAGGAACTTAATATTCTGGCTTTCACTACCGACTGTCACCGAAGAAACAATATCAGAAGCATCCATGCAGGAACTGGGTTGTTCAGTGAAGGTCAGTTGCTCGATCCAGTAATACGGAGAACGGAAAGTTCGAACTTCCTAATGACGATAATACCCTTCTGCTTATTTATCATTAGGTGATCTTAAGTTTAAGTTTGCCTATTTCTAGAATAAAGTTGGAGCATTTGTCAGTTAAAACCATACCAGAAGTAGTAAATTAAGCTGAACATCTACACCATTAACTAACAGTAGTTGACATCATCTCAACAAAATTTCTTTTAATACCCAATAATGGATGGAAGGCTTTAAATATTTGCAACCTGACTATTATTGAATCTTAAGGTCAAGATGCAATCTTTAGGACTATTTTTAATACACTTCTGATTTTCTAACAAATGTGTAAGAAGAGGCGAGTGAATTTATACGTAGTAGATTGAATGTTGATCAGAAGACCTGTTCATGAAACTTGTTGTTTTGGTTTGGTCTGTCTTTTGGTTCCTTGTGAAGATGCGCCTAAAATGTTATGGATCACAATGAATTAAATAGCTAAGATGAACAGCCGTGAGATTCATTCAAGTAAGATTTGCCGCACTAAAACTTGTCAATCTCATGTGGTTACCTTGATATCGTTGAGAATTGCATTTTGTCTGTTGGTTTATTGCGTTGAAGCTTTAAGATTCTATCTTATTAGTTCTTAGTCATCACTAATTTTTATAATTAACATTCATGAACTTTATACTACTTGCATTAAGATAAGAGAAAAAATTGAATATAGCGTCATTGTTTGTACGAGAAAAAGGGTAACATTCACAACTATGGCTTCTCCTAGTTTACTAGCCAGTCCTCAGCCCGGAAAAAGAGGGATAGTTGGGTATAAGGCTTACAAGCCTACCTAGGAACACCAATCTAATCCAGTCGCTAGAGAAACTTCAAAGCACAGATGAAACAAAAAAAAAAACAATTATTTCTCAATGGAACCAAGGAAACC